GGTAAATACCTAAAAAAATCTAAAATTGTACCCGTGTCCAAATATATATGGACCTAACTGTACCTTTAAAGGTGCTTACACATAGGCAAGCATTGTTCTGTTATAGCTAAGGCCTCAGGAATTTCCCCTCTTTAAGACTAATTGCAAGTTCTTGTAAAGCTTGTATGTTCCACTTCTGCATTGAGCAGTTAGCACTGTAATTTTGAGCAGATTGTGCACTTTGACAGCAGTTTATCACCCGTGAATGACCTTATACACTATGAACCAGCCATTGCAGGTGACACTTATATATGTTGCATTGGGATTGATTTACTAAAGGAGTAGAGCATGTTTACTTTGCAATATAAATTGTCACTTTGCAAGATACTTTTCATTATGAATTTTCACCTTGCAAGGTCATTTTCATTTAGCTTAGTGGTGAAAATTCACTTTACACAGAATAGCCATTCACATGTGAGTGAAAAAAAAAGAAAACAATTTTATTTTTGCTAGCATGTGATTGGATGATAGCAGCCAGCAGAGCTTCACCTCATTCAATAAACTAAGTGACAATCCCCCCCCCCCCCCCCCCCGCAAAGTGAATAGCCTGTACTTCTTTTAGTAAATCAACTGCACAATTTGTGAACATTGTGTGGCCAGCACAAATATGCAGCTAATTAATCTGGTCACATATATATGTATAGAAGGAGAGCATTGTCAGAACTTTCTCTCCTGTCTCTCCATATAACCTTTATCATTTTTCAAGGTTCTGTAGGTGTAAAACGACTTATAATAATGATTTGACTAATATGATTTTTGATGTGTAACTTTAATGCCTAACCTTATCACAACTGCAGGGCATTTCATGAGTGCTCAGCTGTAGAGAGCAATGATTTATAGGGATAATAGGAGAAAAAATGCAATCCTGGAAGGAACCTTAAACAAATGGCAAAAGAGGAGCTTATTTTTCTTTTTTTCAGAAAGTGATGTGCAGTCTTTTATGAGCACTTTCCTGCTCTGCTCCTACCTCAAACTTATTGTGACATGATTATGGGCAGATGCAAGACCCATTAAAACAGATTACAGCTGGGTGCCAGCATGCTTGAGATATGACAAGGTTCATTTTTCTTCTTTTCTGTTTCGGGTGAAGAATTCGATCCAACAAGAAGATGTTGTTATTAGTCGGAGGACTGCCTCCTGGACCAGACAGATTGCCCAGCAACTTGGTTCAATACTATGATGATGAAAAGAAGACATGGAAAATACTCACAAGTAAGTAAAACAGCAATTAGTCCACATCTCTTTTTTTGTGTGGTTAACAATTTTCTTGCCATTAAAGAAGAACTCCACTATACACTTACTAGTAACATAACCGTTGAAAAAACAGCAACAATTTCTGTATAAAACACAACATGTTTAGATAGGGACAACAATAAAAACCTGACAGGGGTTCTAATCCTTTCTTCCTCTCGCTCAAAAATAAAATAGAAAACACTTTGGTTTCACATTATCTATCTATCTATCTATCTATCTATCTATCTATTGCATATATTACATTCAAAAAGAGAGAATATTATATATTATTCTGTACTGACAGTGGAATTGAATGCTTTCCCTGTTTCCCTGTCTTCTTAGCAAGTTTATTGTAAAAATCCTGTTGTTTACAGAGCTCAATAGCTGAATTTAAAATTTCCAAACATGAATGAATGAATTAGTGGAGCCATTCATTTCTTATTGGGTGGATCTGTGTAAGATTTCAATCAGGCAAAGTGAGCCTCAAGGCAAGCATCTACTGCTGTGCTGTGTTTATAGCTAACCCATAGTTCTTTGTGAATCCTTTTACCTGTATTAACTATTTATTTGTGAAAAAAAAATGACTTACAAACTTTAAATAAAATTGACCCATACCCATTATAGTTTTACTTTAATTTTGTTAATTCTGATTGGCAGTTATGGATTAGCATTTGTCTCCCTGGACTGTTTTTTGTTGCACTTTTATTGCAGTTGCAGTTTTTTTTTTGTCTGTGCTTTATTGCAGTCAAAAGCAATCACAGAATAGAAAGTAACATAATGACATGGTACAATGCAAATACGATCCCAAAGGATACTGGCAACAGAAAACAGAGCAGTCCAGCAGTCAGCACAGTAGTAGTCGATAACACAATTCCAGCTTCCTGGACTGTTTAGTAAATTAGTTCTGTGGTGTTCCAAGTCATACATATATAGAAGCTAAATGACGACTTTTGTGTGCCCTTCCCCGTTTTAGGTATGCCATAGCTGAACAAGTCTGATTCAATAACAGAAAACTCCTAACAGGAACCAGTAGCATTTTTCTTTGTGTGCTTAATGTGTTGGCCATTGTTATTCATTTGTGGGGCATGACTGCCCCCAGAATGGCTTCCACTGGTTTCCAATGATCCTACAGAAAGGGAAAATAAATGAATTCTGCTTGTCTAGATACATGTGCATAAAAGCAACTCTCCCAACCTCGGGAAATAAAAAATAATTAGTGGGGTATGCATGAAAATACAAATCAGTATAAACAATAATAAATAATAATAAAATAAAAAAATAAAAATCCTTCTTTCATATACACCAACAATGCATGTTGACATATACAGCCCAACACTTGCAAATTATGCCACCAACAGGAGCATGGAAGTGCTAATTATCACACAGATTTTTTTTTAGCAAATTGGTAAAATCTCTAGGATTTTCTAGCAATTGTTTTTCTTCTTTATATAAAAAAGGAGCAAATTTTTAAATATTCATGTGCCATAAAAGAGCATAGAGCATGAGAGTCAAAAATACATCGCTCTGTACAAGTATAGACAAGCAAAGGGAGATATCTCAATGAAAGTCTTTCTTAGAGAGAGAACTGTATCATTGCAAGCAATCAAATCTTTTTTTTTACCTTGACTATTCTGAACTCATGTGAGCTAAACTCTTTTAGTCAATTAGGATATACATCATCTCCTTAATATTTGTATATATGAAATCAGTTGGTTATGTGTTTGATTATTTTTTATTTCAGGTGTGCGTAGCTCTTATCAATGTTTAATATTTATAGTTTGATTACTTGCCATTTGTGTATGTATTATAAAATGCACTTATTTTTAAGCTTTAATTTCAAAACAGTAACATCAAAAAATGTCTCAAGCCATGTCTCTCACTATACTTACCTTTAATTTGTTTGGAGTACATTTCATTTTCATATTCTCTTAGCCATGCTGCACCATTGACAGAAAAAAATGGCATTGCAAATCCTGCACCTGCATTGGAACCTGAAGAGTAATAGATCACTTCCATTAGGGATGAAATTATGGAAGCTGTCACTGCTGACTTGCTTTTGAAGGAGCTTGTTCCAGAGTTGTTATACACGTAAACAGTGACAACTCCCACATTTCTGTCTTAATAGATTGCCTATAGGTGTCTAACTGTAATACTGCAAGAGAAATAGTCTTTATATTCTGTTGTCTTATGATTTCTAGATTAATTATTGCCTGCAAAAGTATATCTATACTAAAGTGAAAAAGGGAGCTCTGATTGTGGAACTATATTGTCATTTGACATCCAAGAAATAATTCTGTGTGTATGAAACTTAAAAACAGTTATGTAATATACATTGTAATCAAGAATTTGGGTGTTTTTTGTATAACTGCAAAGTTACAGTAAACTCTTCAGGGTCAGAAATATGAAGTGAAGTAATAGAAAAGTAGATTGACTTGTTTACTCAAAGTATTTATCCCCACTACTGAAGAAATGTCATTTGATGGAGTGTATGTGTTGATGACTCAAGTTTACCCAAATTTAAAAAGACACAAAGGAAATTTAGCAAACAAATTTAACAAAAAAATTAACCTTGTTCTGGCTTTCATAAATGTTCTAGTCCTCACTAAAATGTATTCTATATTACATGGATCACCAAATTGTTTTCCTGAGAGGAGATATTTTGATAACCAAATATTCTTTTATGGTGGTAAAACCCTATTGAAATAATGTAAAACACTGCACCTGTCAAGCTCCCTATGATCATCTTCCACTTATTTAGAATTACAAGGAAGTAAGAACATCAACAAAATACATTTATATACTGTTTTCATTTGTGTAGTATATTATCAGGGGTTAATGATGGTTTTATAATGAGCCATTAATAAGACCCGGCTATTTGATTAATGAAAATGAGGCAGCTGTCACACTGTTGGCTGGATCCTGTACATAAAGCATGAGGGTAAAGTGGAAAAGAACACCAAGAAGCCAAAACTGTTTTAAGTAACACACAGGACCAATACCTTGAAATATATTTTTACATGTCCAGGGTGTCATGAACTGAGAATGAATGGGGTCCATCTGCTAATTGTAAATGCCAATAAATCAATTTTGGCTTCTGATAAATGGCACAGGAGCATCAAAGCAACATTTTTGCATCACAGGCATTAATTTGACACAGATTCTTATATTTATTGACAGTAATAAACATAACCCTGAAACCACATCCTTACTCTACATCTACACCAAAGGAAGTACTGGGCTGGGGTTCGGAGGGTGGGGGCATTTTCCTCCCAGGCCGCTGCAGAAAATATATTTTGGGCTTTTTCCCTGATTGAAGATACTTTCCCATTTTGATCTCCATTAGAGCAGGACCTGAAGTCAGTGACAACTAGCTGGGCATTATATAGCTATCTGCTAATTATTCAGACCTAGGATAGCACCAATTTCCTTTGTGGATCTGAAATGCTATGTGACCAAATATAGAGAGATGCAAAGGAGGTCAGTGGTAGAAGAATGCAAAAACATAAAATGTGTTGGGCTTATCTCATCCATCTATCTTATTCCTCTTGGGACCTTAATGCAGTCAAACATTTTTCCAACACTTGCCCTGGTATATAACCAATTCTAAAATTGGCACCCCTTTGGCAGGCTAACATATACTATAGTGCCAAACGTATTGGGACACCCCTCCAAATCATTGGATTCATGTATTCCAATCACCTCCATGGCTACAGGTGTATAAAATCAAGCACCCAGGGATACAGACCTCTACAAACATTTGTGAAAGTATGGGTCGCTCTCAGGAGCTCATTGAATTCAAGCGTGGTACTATGATAGGTTGCCACCTGCGCAATAAGTCCATCCATGAAATTTTCTTGCTACTAAATATTCCACGGTCATCTGTTAGTGGTAATATAACAAAGTGGAAGCAACTGGGAACAACAGCAACTCAGCCACGAAGTGGTAGGCCACGTAAAATGACAGAGTGGGGTCAGCACATGCTGGCATGCACACAGTGCGCAGAAGTCGCCAACTGTCTGCAGAGTCAATAGCTAAAGACCTGAAAACTTTGTGTGGCCTTCAGATTAGCACCAAGCCTTACATCACGAAGTGCAAGGCACAATGTCGGATGCAATGGTGTAAAGCACGCCACCACTGAACTCTAGAGCAGTGGAGACATGTTCTCTGGAGTGACAAATCATGCTTCTCTGTCTGCCAATTTGATGGATGTGTCTGGGCTTGGCGGTTGCCAGGAGAATGATACTTGCCTGACTGCATTGTTCCAAGTGTAAAGTTCGGTGGAGGGGGGATTATGGGGTGGGGTTGTTTTTCAGGGTTGGGCTTGGCCCCTTAGTTGCAGTAAAGGGAACTCTTAAGTTGTCAGCATACCAAGACATTTTGGACAATTTTATGCTCCCAACTTAGTGGGAAGAGTTTGGGGATGGCCCCTTAGTGTTCCAACATGACTGCACACCAGTGCATAAAGCAAGGTCCATAAAGACATGGATGAGTGAGTTTGAGGTGAAGGAACTTGACTGGCCTTCACAGAGTCCTGACCTCAACCTTTGGGATGAATTAGAGTGGAGACTGCAAGCCAAGCCTTCTCGTCCATCAGTGCCTGACCTCACAAATGCGCTCCTTGAAGAATGGTCAAACATTCCCATAGACACACTCCTAAACCTCATGGACAGCCTTCTCAGAAGAGTTGAAGTTGTTTTTGCTGCAAAGGGTGGGCCAACTCAATATTGAACCCTGCAGACTAAGACTAGGATGCCATTAAAGTTCTTGTGCGTGTAAAGGCAGGAATCCCAATACTTTTGGCAATATTGTGTATGTGCATATTAGTTTACAATAGAATTTCTTCAATGATAAGTCCTTCCAAAATACGTCCCAACATGTTTCAATTACTTTTTCTTCCTCAGGGGGCAGCATATAAGGCATAAAGAGAATATCACATGAAAATGAATGAGAGCTCTTTAAAACCATGTATCATTACCTCAGACCTATGGATCACTATCAGCTTGGGGGTTCACATTTCAGGGTACACGAGGGATCGCACTGACTCTCCGTTACCAAGTGTGGAGGAACCAATAAGTAGGACAAGATCACTGTAATGCAAATATATTATAATCAGGTGATAGAGTACGTGGGATAAATCTCTAATCCATAAATTTATGCCAAGCTTAGATTCCCACAGCTTATAAAAACAACTTGTATGAACCACCATAAAAAATGTATCATAATCAGATGGTACGGTCCTTGAAAGAGATTGTCAAAAAGAATGCTAGATTCAGATTCCCAAGGCTTACAAACAAAACTCACATTGATCACAATTCAGTACAGCCCAACTAGATGTGTGTAACCTCCAGCCACAGACTTGGCCAAGCCCTACCACTGCCACGCATGGCACCATGGTCTCTGTGCCTCATGTGGAGTTTGAGTATTGACCCATCCAATGGAATGAACAGGGACTGCTCCTCACAAAATTTGATGCCCTAATACAGGACACAAAGCAACTGACTCTGATATTGTGCAGAAATATCTGTACTAAATAGAACTGATCCAAAAAGGGAAGTTATACATAAAATGGTAGAAACATATGTGATATGAGAATTAATGCAATTCACTCTTCTTTTTATGACAAGCAATTATAATAGTGAAGCTAAAGGTTGTGTTAGACAGTGTAATATAACAACATCTCATATCTCTAGTCAGCTTGGCCATGGTCTACTGAATAATGAGCAGCCAATGTCCCCTGACTACACACATGGATGGAGAAAAACCACAGACATTTAGTAGCTTTAAAATTAGGTGTTACTGGGACCTCGGGGACAGTGGGCACACTGACCAAACACTTTTAGCAGTGGCTATGTAACATGCTTTATTTTCCTCTCACATTCCCAGGGGATTAAACTTCAGTAACAAGTGCTTGTTTTATCCTGCTTTACGTCAAAAGATGTCATCTCTGAAACACCCAAAGTCTGCACAATCACTGACCTGGAAACCGAGAATATACATAAACTATGCTGCATGGATAACACACATATTAAGAGCCTGATTTACCCATGTCACTGCCAGCAAGTGTGAAGCTATGTTCAATCTGCTTCTCTGCCAAAATAATGCTGGTTTCCTTGTACATCTCTATACATGTCCTTTTGAACATAGAACAATTTGGTGGATGATCTATGGGATACAACTAGATTTGGTTAATATATTAACAGATAATAAGTGGAAAATACTATATTCTAAACAATTATCAGCAAACTGTAAAAATGCATTCTATGAAGAAATCCAGAACAAATTCTCCGATTCCACAAGGTACACATTAATTGCAATGGGGCTGTTTTACTAAAAATTGGAGGATGCTCACTTATAAAAGGGACTGTTCAAATAGCTTACTGTAACCCTGTCACCACATGGTCACTTCAGGTTACCTGTAAAAGAAGACAGAATACCCGTACTTACCTTCCAGTGGCCCATGTATTGAAAAGCCATCACATCTCCTCACCTCAGCCACTGCAAGTATTCTGCACTTTAGGCTGTGTAGAATACTTGCTCCCCTTCTGACTGCTATGTATCCTCCCTCATTCAGCAGTAAACTATTGGCAGTAGCTTTTTAATACAAAGGACTCTGGAAAGGTTGGTATATTCCCTCTTCCTTTGCAGGTGATATATTGACTAAAACAAGCCTTATGTGACATGGTCCCTTTAATAAAAAAATTACGTGGATACATTTGAACCAATCAATCATGTACTAGCAAAAATTATTTTCTTTATTTCCCGCTCACATGATTGGGTATTCAAAGTGAACCTTATTCACTACACCTTATTTACTAACATTCACTTTGCAAAGTGAACAGTTTCCATTTTTTTTAGCTAATCCACGCCATTGTTTTAATAATATTAACTGGAATTAAAAGAAGTACAATTTGTTACCCTTTGAAACAATAACATACATTTAAAATCTTACAGAATTGATTTTAACTTTGTTTTTAATCTAATAACTGCTGTGGCTATTTACACCATAGATGTGCATGTGTGCATTAGTACCCATTTATACATACTGTATATCTACATGCTTCTATTGTTTTGCACAATAAGTAAAAATATGAATAGTTTAAATTATACCTTACATCGGTATATTTTTACATGCCCTTATTACTTTCCCAGATTACAAGTACAGGCATACTTTTACAGCGGCATATGAAAGTTGCCAACCTTCAGATAAGTAAAATAAAATAAATTATTGTGAAATATAAATATACATCTAATTGTGAACATCATGGAAGAAAGCAATATTTCAAATATAGTTATTTTTAGGTAAAATTATACAACTGGTTAATAATTAAAACTAAAATTGAAATAAAAATATTTTGTTTCCCTTACTATTTAAGAATTAATAAACTCTCTAGAGCTTGTTAAATTTACCCTTGGCATTTGTTTTAATTATTCCATAATTTTTCCCTTTCCGGGTGATGGTATAAAACCAATTTGTAGTAGAAAAGCACAGAATAGAGAAGACAAAAGATTGGCAAAATGTAGTGTTTCATCCTCTTTTAAATAATAGGGTTTCTTAAAAAGGGCTAAAGCCTGCTTCAAAACTGCAATTGTGTAGTAAAATACATATTTGGAAGAGGACAAAAAAGAACATAATTTATTCCAAAGATGTATATAAAGTGTGTAGACTCACACAAGCTAGGCCACAAAACCAGGTCTTTGCCTAGGCACATTGTCACCCTCTCAGGCTGCAGGCCAAAGGGGTTTCAATAGGAAGAAACACTCCTCCTTAGGCAGGAGTCTCAGGGGAAAACAGATTTGCCAATAGCACTCTCTGAATATTTATACCGTCTCCCAGCATTCACCACTGGCAAGGAAACTCCTGCTGGTTGGCTAAGGAGAGATACATATTTGTAACTCTGGTAAGTGTGGCTAAAGGCAACAGTACCACCTGCTGACAGGAGCACACATATGGTAACCAGAGAAATCTAAGAAAGCTGAACTATAAATTCAGGTATGCTGACTACAGTTTAGCACCACTACATTTGGATAGGCACTCCTGCTTATGGCAGGATAGCTACACATTTAAAGCGAAAGACTTTTAAAACATGGAAAATTGACTAACTGAAAAAATCATGGGTTAGGATAGAGTATAATTTTGCTAAGAAATTTCGAAAATTCAAGTGACAAGTGCTTTTGTGGCACTTGTAGCACTGTATGAAGCCCTACATTGGCCACTGTGCATGCAGTAATGCACAGCATGCAGTTTGCGGTAACATTGTCAATATTATGGTTCGAAAAAACAAAAGTGGAAAATGTATTTGCAAATCCTCCTGTCTTCAGTAATGACTCACTGAGGAATCACATTAGTTGCCAAGTGGTACCACATAATAGCCATAAGTTGAATAATGGGGTATTGAACTAATATACTTTTTAACCAGAGCAGCTTGTTACCAGACTTTGTATATCCAGATTTCCACTTACTATGTCACCAAACCCATGCAAATGTGTGGGAAGAAATATTTGTGCTATGCAGGATGTTCATATTGTATTTTGGTCTTGAAATAGGAATATGTATTGCTTAAAATGATTTCCGTTTTTTAAATTTAAAACCCTTTTGTGTTTAGTACATGTGAAAAGAGATTATCTTTCTGTAGAGCAGAATTGAGAGGAATGCAGAAATCCTATTTACGTTCTAGTAGCAAGGTGCCATTGTGTGTCATCAGTAATTGGCAGGTTCAAATCAGAGGTTTTGGTGAATTCTATTTAAAAAAGAACCCCAGGTATGGATATTTTTACATTGTTAGATTGCTCCAGCTTGGACCAATCTAACTATGTATATACCATACTGGTGGGATCCATGTAGAAGCTGGAGCAGTGGCTCACCAGCTTCCAGGTCCGTGCCAAGCAGCTGTTCTGCTTCATTCTGAACACAGGAGGTCACCTGCTTGGCAAAGGTACTATTCAGAATTTGCTTTGCATTTCCTGAGTGATTGTAAAGTATTCTCTGACAAGGTGGAGAGGTGGGGTGGTTGCTATAGCAATGAATGGAGCCACTGGGGCCAATGTTGGTAGTAGCATCCCAGAAAGACACATACTGTATGTGGAATGATAATAAGGAGCAATAGAGGATCCAAAGTTTTCATAGCACAGGGGACTTCGGCAAAGAATGTTATCACTAGAAACTGAGACTTGAAAATAGGACTAGAGAGTTCTAAACTCTATCTTTGTTTTAAGGGTAGTTCCACCCTTTGTGCCATATCCTCAGTCAGCATGATATGGACTGTTTCTTTACATTTATAGATAAAGAAGTTAGCTAGCACTGTTGTTTATCACTCGAATAAAGCTGTTAATTGTTCTGGAAGTGAAGGAGT